ATTGAGAGAGAAAGATATTGAAGAGAGATTGAAGAGAGATTGAGAGAGAGAAAGAGTTTGAGAGAAATTGAGAGATTGAAGAGAGAGAGATTGAAGACAGCAAAGTTTGAGAGAGAAAAATTGAGAGATTGAGAGTTTGAGAGAGAGAGAGATTGGAGTGAGAGATTGAGAGAGAAAGAGATTGAAGAGAGAGAGGTTGAAGAGAGGTTGAGAGAGAGAGAGAGAAAGAGTTTGAGAGAGAGATTGAGAGAAATTGAAAGATTGAGAGTTTGAGAGAGAGAGAAAGAGAGAAAGAAAGAAATTGAGAGAGAGAGATTGAGAGTTTGAGAGAGTGAGAGAAATTGAGCAAGATTGAAGAGAGATTGAGAGAGAGCAGGAGAGTGAGAGAGTTTGAGAGATAGAGAAAGAGGGAGATTGAGAGATATAAATAGATAGATAGATATACACGTACATATATACATATCAAGAGGTCTTACAAGAAATTGCAATAGAAGCTGGCCACTTGAGTTGGACTGTCCCAAGTAGCAACCCGAACAACATTATTTGTTTTCTGTATGTAATATAGGTACTCAACTTACAACCGTAATTGAACCCAAAAACTTCCATCACAACCATCATAAATATGAATCGGTTGCCAAGCACCTGACCCCAGGAATGCTGCAACAGCCCTTAAGCCTCAAAGTTGGTCATTGGTCACCTTTTTTAGGGCTGTCCTAACTTTGAACAGTCACTAAACGAATCATCCTAAGTCGAGGACAATCTGTAAAGTACAATGAAAGCTGCAGACGGGTGGGGAAGGGAGGAGAGAATTACAAGCAAGGGGAATTCCTTTCCAGACCTTCTCATCAACGTGAGCAGCCAAGTTATTATTTTAAAAAAATAAAAATAGAAATATGTTATGGGCCTCTCACAATTTCTGGGTGTCTCTTGTTACAGCAAGGGGTCATTTCTCAAGCTTTTGTACCAGCCCAAAAAGTCAACTTGTACCTGATTTAAGAGTCTGTTCCATGCATTCATTTATTTATTTAATGTATTTCTATTCCACAGCAATCAAAAAGATTCTTGGTTCCGAATGTCCCGTTTGAAGGGCTTCAGCGACAGACAGGAATCCGCAAACGTGTGCGGTTTCTGCCTGGGCTCGCCGCTGGAGCGCCCTGAGCCAGCTGGCTTCAGGGCTAAGCCACCCCATAGAGGTGGTGAAGAAGGGGGAGACCGCCAGCAGGGTCGAGGAGAGCCACATCTCTCCTCCTCAGCTGGCCATTACTCCCTTCCCCGAAGGCAGTAGGAGCGGTGGTCAGAAATGGCCACCTCAAAGAAAAACTCAACCGGAAAAGAACATGCAGAAAGATAAGAAGTGAAAGTTTTGGATGACCGGGCTAAGTTGAAAAAGCAATAACTAAGGTACCCTGGAATTTAAATTTTACAAGAAATAACATTGTTCCCAAAGAAGAGTCGGAAGCAGTGAAAGAAAGTGAAAAGGGAAAGGTTTGATTTTTTTTTCTTCTCTCTCCTTCCTTATATTGACAATTAAAAATAAGAAATTGGAAAAATCCGCTTTGGCATCAATAGGCAATTCAGCTGAAAATATAACTAAATGCCAAAGGGACAATAAAGATTTCTGGACATTAAAACCTTTTTCTTCTATAAGCAGGAAGGGAGAGAAAAAGAATAAGGGCAGGATCTGGAAGAGGGAGGAGACTGCCTGGACTTTAAAAGAATCTAAAGTAAAATTTCAATAAGCTTTCTAAAAGATACATTTTAACTGAAACTTTGCTACTAAATAGTAACCCCAGGAAAAGAAAGTGGAAAAAAAAGAAAGAGCAAAAAGAAACAGCTTGTGTGTATTTGGATTACTTGGTGACTTTTGGATTTTTGGCTATTATATTTGAATGACTAAAATCAATCGGGTGGTTGTTTAAAAATTTCTACAATGGCATTACTTTTGGATGAATTGAAAATGGAACTTAAAAAGTACAAAGAAGATGCACAAGAAGGGAAGGGTTCCTTTGGATTCGTTTTTCAATTTCTAGAAATGGAGATTTGGAACTATGAGAAACAACAAGAAAAGACTGCAAAACAAGAAGACTGGGACAAAGAAGAAGCCATCTTTAATGAACAAGTAACTCTATATGGGGAAGAAAAAGGAAAGAGGGGAAAGAGGATGGAGAATTGAAGACTTAAAAAAACAACCAAAGAAAAGAAAAATAATTAGAAAAATAAGTATAATACTGGAAAGCAACAGAAAAGGGGAATACAGAAGAGGGAAGTAGAGGTAGAGAGACAAAGGGGTAAAAAGGGGAGAGAGAAGAAGAGAGAGAAGAAGGAAAGGAAAAGAAGTTACAAAGGTCCGGAGCAAGGTATAAAGAAACAGGACCTATTTAGAGATAACGAGTGAAAATCTAACTGAAAGGGGGATTCTGTAAAGGTACATGAGATTGTGTTGTTATATTTGAAATAGAAATAACTTTAAAAAATTGGAAACAACATATGATTAGAATGAGGGATAGAATGGTTAGTGTAACTTAGTGAAATGTTTGTGAATAAAGTAAATGAAATAAAATAAATGAGAAAATTGAATTAGGAAGGAATGGGAACACTTTAATTAGTCAATGTTTTATAAAATATAAGTGAAGAGTGGGGAAATTGATTATGGAAAGTTTATACTTGTTCCCATAGAAGTATCATATTTAATTGAAAAGTAATGTGAAAAATGTTAAGACTGTAATGAATATTAATATTAATGATAGAATTGAATTGGAATGGAATGTTGTTTTAATTATATACATTTATAACTTTTTCTTTTCTTTTTTTTTTAAAGAATACTGTGTGTAGTTTAAGAATATACCAAGCAGAATCCGAATGGAAGTTATGTATTATATTGAGTGTTATAACTTTAGGGGAAAGATATAAAGACATCATACTCCAACCAGTAACTCCAGGAGAAATTTTGTTTAATGAGAAAAGATAATAGACAATTGAAACAGGACAGATAAAAAATATAAATATAATGATTTGAATTGAGATGAAATAAATACAATAAAATTGAGGAAATTAAAACAGGGGAGAAGCCATGTAGAAAATGTAAAATTGTAATAAGATATGGACTAGAATATAAAAATGAGCATGAACCTGAATTTGTGTCTGTACGAAGAAATATAACCCGGGATTATGCTGCTTTCAAAAAAGATGTTTTAATTGAATTTCTTTTCTTTTTGTGGAAACTCAAATAAAATTTACAAAAAAAAAGAAAGATCCCTGGTTCCCTTGAACAGAATAAATAATCCACACAGTATAAAAAAGAACCGAAGCAATCCTGAATAAAGAGCAAACACCAAGGAATGAATTGTATGGATTGCTAGAAATAACTGCAATATGGTTTTCAGGGTTGGGTGGTGGCAGGGTCAAAAGTTAACAAGCTGCTTTACTTAATATTTAACAACAAAATGCTGTTGGGTTCACCCACGTTATGAACTTCAAAAGCATTTTAAAAACACTTTTTGAAATGTTACACCATGTAATTAAAAATATGCCTTCCTGCCAGACTGATATGGATACTTTGAAATTTTCACTGCTATTTTTATAAGAACAGAATAGAATTCTTTATTGGCCAAGTGTGATTGGACACACAAGGAATTTGTCTTGGTGCAAATGCTCTCAGTGTACGTACATTCGTCAAGAGTCAAGAATCGTAAGGTACAACGCTTACTGATAATCATAAGGTACAATAAGCAATCAAATCATACTTGGAAACAATCAATGAATATCATTAGGATTCAGGCGACAAAGTTACAGTCATACAGTAACAAGTGGGAGGGGATGGGTGATAAGGAGAGATGAGAAGATTAATGGTGATAGTAGTGCAGACTTTGTAAATAGTTGGACAGTTTATTATTTATTTATTTATTTGTCAAGCAAGTATTAGATAACAGGTATAAGTATAAACATGGTTATGAATAGATGAAATGGGTATGAATTAAAAAAACAATAGGACAGGGATGGTAGGCACATTGGTGCACTTATGCACGCCCCCTACAGACCTCTTAGGAAAGGGGTGAGGTCAATAGTAGGCAGTCTAAGTTTAAAGTTTTTGGGGTTTGGGGAAAAAACCACAGAGTCAGGTAGATTATTCCAGACATTGACTACTTTATTGCTGAAGTCATATGTCCTGCAATCAAGTTTGATGTTGAGGGAGTTATTAGTTTATTTCGCTCAAACTAAGATTACATTTCCTTTCTTTTCCCCAAGAAAATCAGAAATAAATCCTTGTTAAAATCTCCCCTTTCCCCCCCTGCTGTTGCTAACAATAGTTGTCTTGAAAGAAATTTAAAAACAAAACAAAACTGGAGGCCTTAGCCATCCAAAATCATTCTAAAACTCCAACCGGAAATAAAAAAAGAAATCAAAAGGAACTCGCCTCTTGTCTGTACAGATCGTTCAGAAGAAATGTGACACAGGGAAAACGCCTGGGATTACAAATATGGAGGACATCTGCCATTTTGGGAATTAAGACGGGGGAGTAACAACAAAATTAAAACAAAGACACTGAGGGCAACCAACCAAAGTGGCTTTTCTCAAGGAAAATGGAGAAGCACTGAAGTGAAATCACCGTATAAGGAAAGTTCTGTTGTTTTACAAAACTCTGATTATTCTTTATAAAGTTCTCATTTTTTAGCAAATTGCCTTGACCGTTTCAAAATTTCTACCTCCATTTCAGCCATCTGGCCCTCTGGTATGCAGGAAATAAGCCTGACTGAGCAAGCAACCAACTCTTTTCTGCAGTTTTATCCTCGGGTGAGAATGAATCAGAAATAGCAAAGGGCACTAACAAGCACACAAGATTGCAAGTCAGTGAGTGACAGAAAGCATCTGTTAGAAGTGATCTTGAAGAAATAGAAATATATGCATACAGAATAGTAAAAAGGATACCATTGTTGTTAACATAGCATGTAGCAACTAAAAAATGGCTACACTGATACTAGTTTTTTTTTAATTTGTTATATATTGGTTTCAAGGGAATAAAACGGGAAGAATATATAAAATAAAAATCAGTAGCATGATTGAATTGACAATGAAAGGGAATAAATATTGGATAATATATTTTAGGACGAAATTGGTTTTATTTTTCTCTGGAAATGATGAATGAAATAACATGGATAAAACATATGAAAAGAAAAATGGAATTAGGTAATAATGATATGATATGTAACTGGATAAGAAAGCCTGAAAATGTAATTAGGATTATGTAGGTATGTTACAACCTGGAATCACATTGTTCACTTAAAGAGATGTTTAAAGAATAAAAATTAAAAATTTATTGAAAGAAAAAGAAGTGACCTTGAAGGATAGGCTGACACTTAAGAGAGGGCTTGTATAGCACTGTGAAGTGGGATATAAATCTAAGTGCAATTGCTACTGCTATTTCTGCAACGTGCTAGAATTTTTTGGCTTTGCTGTGCCTAACAAACACAATTTCCCCAATTCAACACAAGAAAAGCTGTCTCTTGAATATGCATGCACCAGGTTTCTGCATATATAACTAATATAATTTTGCTATTATATATGTTGACAACAGCAAAACTACCGTATGCACAAAAATGGAAGGACACTTCAATTCCTACTATAGACGAAAGGTTGCAGAAGTTAATGGAGTTGGCTAAAATGGCAAAATTGACTACTTTGATTAAAGAAAAGAACATGTTATTATTATTATTATAAATTTTCATTCATAAATATTTTTGAATAACAGTGCATTGGCAGAGCCTTATTTACAAATTAAACACGACTGACATATGTTGGTAATAAATCTCAACCTACAAACTAATAGTGATAGTAATGGTATATTAACGGTACTAATAGTATAACCAACAGTGTTGATCTGGGTTTCTTCTTACGTTAGCTTAATTACATTTTTTAAATCAATTACTACATTTATATTTGTCTACCTCTTCCAGTATATATATTATAACCTTCATCTTACTTTCTCTAATTTCTAGGTCTTTTCTCTATCTATTCATAAAATTTATGGCTATATTGATATATATTTTAATTCTATTTGTTATATATTGGGTTTAGAGAGTAAAATGGGCAGAATACATAAAATAAAAATAGGTGGCAAGATTGAATTGACAACAAAGGGAATAAATATTGGATAATATATCTTAGGATGAAATTGTTTTTCCTTTTTTTTTCTGGAAATGATGAATGAAACAACACGAAGTGATAAAACATATTAAAAGAAAAATGGGATAAGTAATGATGTGAAACTGGATAAGAAAGCTGAAAATGTAATTATGATTATGTATGTATGCTACAACCTGGAATCACATTGTTCACTTAAAGGTGTTTAAAGAATAAAAATTAAAAAATTATGCAAAATAACTAAAAAAAAATAAAATTTATTCCATGTCCAAAAATACTCTGAATCATCTTTGTCTTTAATTTTTAAAGTTAACCTATCCATTTCAGCACAGTCCCAGATTAGTACTTTTGTTTCCACATAGAGACAACGCATCTGAACTTTATGCTTGAAGTGGAAAAGAAGGAAACTCTGATTTGGGGCTTTACCGAGTAGATCGACAGATCTTTTACAGAAGTGGCTGGTTCATATTATTACGAAAAAGCAAAAAAACTGTGATTTGATGTTAATGCCTTATATTACAGAGTCGGAAGTCAATATTTCTTTTTCTTCTTTTCTCTTATCGTTCCTCACTTTCCTTCCCCCTTTCTCTCCCCACTGTTTCTTTATTTACATTTGTCTTTTGTATTTCGAAATATTTATATAACTCAATAAAAATGCTACATGGAAAAGTTTCTGCATCCGTGTGCAAGGATGCATATAAAATGT